TTCTCACAAGCCTGAAATTGAATCATTCACAAATCATTCACATATAAACAACATATTAATCAATGCATATGGATTATGAGAAACCAAAGATTAGTGAAAAAGACAAGTAAGAAAATGATGTAATAAGCAAAATTAAGGCAACAATATCCACAAAAAGATGATAGAATATCTTGAGAATTTCTTTAATGAAGTGTGATGATTTCATTGGTGTTGAAGCATCTATCTTAACTAGTAGGAACTTTTTGAATTAAGGGGGATCTAATCCCCGCCAGTTGGGTATGACAAGGACACACCCGACCGCTAGCACAATATAGCACGAGCAGTAGGTGAGAAATCAGCTGATGAAGTAAGGAGGCATTATGAGGCACTAGAGAAGGACATCATGAAGATAGAAACTGATCAAGTACCAATACCTAATTATAGGTCTATTCCAAACAATGGCAGAGGATATGGTAATGAACAGAGGTATCCCACTAATTTTCTTGACATTGTTCATTGAATGAAGCTCTTTTTTAACACTAATTTGAACATTTTTAGTACTAGATTAATCGATTTCGTGCCAGAAAGGGATGTAATATACTCTTAGGAAATAGAAAATTGAAAAGAGATCCAATATCCTAGTTCCAAATCGAGAAAACACGAGCAGGGAGGGATCAAACAACTTCTATACCAAGAACTTACTTCTGTTTTATTTGCCAAATACTCATAATAATTGAGTACATTTTAGTAATTGTTGCATTCTCTAACTCTGTCATTGATAATAATATATTAAGGTTATTTATTCATATTCCTAAAAGAGACCACATGAAATCTAATCCTACTGGTTTTAGATCATAGCACGTGGTCTAAGTTCAGGCCACCTCCATATTAAAAACATCATAGTTTATGAAGTTTTACTTTTCTTGGCAAGGGTCATGGACTCATGCATGATTGATGCAATGAATTTTTTATGAAATCCTCACCTTCATCAATCCCGAGCCTCAAGATATCAGCACCTGGATACAACCAGAAAATGTTAGCTCGTGTTGAAATTTGATACAACCAGGATGATTAACGTAACACCTACCTTAACCAAACTGAACCAAATCTAAAAGTCTAAGTTGTTACTGATTAGACCGGATTTATTTTTTATTATATACAGCTGTACCTTTTTCAAGATTCAAACTGGATATGCAGTCAATTTTCATTTTCACTGCTGTAAACAGGATTCTGAAGAATCTTAAACTACATTGAGAAACTCTGTCGGGGACTAATACTCCATTACCATCGGAAGAAATGCAGATTCCAGTGGCACCGAGAGAAAGTGGTTCCTCGTAATGTATTGTGTATTCCTAAGAGTTTCAAAGCAAATAAGAAATATTTATGTAATTCTACCATTCGCTAGGTTGGTAAAGTTGTAATGTTCTATGTTGTTCAAAAATGTGTAACACGTTTTATGTTGTTGTCTATGCAGTCTATAATAATTTGTTCCTTCAAATCATTCTATTTGTGACCCAGTTTATGGGATTTTGGGATCTCTCACGATGAATAAATCAGGAGTATGAACCCTCTCCATCTAGCCCGACCTCGAATAAATGAATGCTATGCATTAAATGAGGAAGGTGGCAAAGGTATTTTATATGAATAAGAGAAGGGATGAAATTGAGTTCTAATCAAAATGATAAGAAATCTTATGACCTGAACAATTCAAGATTTTGAGCAACTGTTGGTTCAAAAAAAAATCAGTCTCGCGAGATCTAAGCAGAGAGGGAAAAAACAGAAGTTCAAAAATTTTGGAGATGCGGGGTATCGATCCCCGTACCTCTCGCATGCTAAGCGAGCGCTCTACCATCTGAGCTACATCCCCAAGTTTGTTCAATTTACCGACTACAAACATTTCATGAAAATACCATATAAATCAAGATTATAGACTGCCATCAATTTAAAAAAAGAATGCAGCATGTATTACAAAATGAATTATAAATTGAATATCATAGAGATAATGGTTAATCAATTTGAAATATCATAGAGATAATATGTTGGAAATTTGAGCTATTTCTCATATAAGTTTACAATTTTTTCTGGAAAATCTTATAAAAGCTTCCACATTCTTTTGTTTTTTTTTTTTAACAAAAAAAATAATCTAAATATGTAGAATTAATTCTCATAAAATAATTTTATTTGCTTGCCTCTATTTCATGTCAAAACAATCTCGCCTAATCAGCGTCAACTCTCCCAAATACACAACTGAAAAATGGAATTGAAATCTAAGTTCAAATGTGTAGTCACCAAACTTACAATTTCGTCTCAAATTCATAGGCTCTGTTAAAATTAATGACACGTACCAAGGGATACATCGTTAATAAGGGATAATTGCAGACACAGTTCCAAATCTTTTAATTTTTTGTAGATTTTATCCTAACTTTTTATTTGTTGCACTCTTGGTCTCAAACCTTTCAATTTTATGGGTTTGAGGACAAGTGGATGGAATACATCCAAATGAAGTGTGTTAAATGGATGGATCTCCCATAAGTGCCCCCCTTTTGCAAATTCAGCATGCATATAATTTGATTCACCACATTTTAGCCAGGGGTGGGTGCGGGGCGGGTCGGTTCGGTTCGATTTTTTTCGGTGCCAGAAATTTTCGGGTATTTAGTAAATAGAACCTTCGGTTTCAAATATAATTTTGGAACCGTTCGGGTTCAGTACGGTTCGGTTCGGTTCGGTTCAGTTCCGTACTATAATTAAATTTTTTAATATTTACAACAACACGACATAAATACAACTAATGACATTTCATTCGTAACTATTACAAATTAACATAGCCCAATTTAGAAACATATAAATAACTAATCATCTAATAA